AATAATAATAATAATAATAATAATAATAATAATAATAATAATAATAATAATAATAATAATAGTATTATCCGGCTTTCCTCATTAAATTTGTCAGCACCAATTGTTTTCAAGTGAAGGCAAAGGTCTTGAGGCACTGCACCCAGTGTGCCAATCACCACTGGGACCACCTTGACTGGCTTGTGCCAGAGTCTTTACAGTTTGATCTTTAAATCCTCGTATTGTGTCAGCTTTTCTAGTTGTTTCTCTTCAATCCTGCTGTCGCCTGGAATTGCAACTTCAACGATCCATACTTTATTTTTTAACACGATCACGAGGTCAGGAGTCTTGTGCTCCAAAATCCTGTCTGTCTGAATTCAGAAGTCCCAGAGGAGTTTGCTGTGTTCATTTTCCATAATTTTTTCAGGCTTGTGATCCCAACAGGCAGATGGTATTTGTGACACAAGTTCCAATGGATCATCTGAGCAACAGTGTTATGCCTCTGCTTGTAGTCTGTCTGCGCGATCTTCTTGCAGCAGCTGAGGATGTGATCTATCGTTTCTTCTGCTTCCTTGCAGAATCTACACTTGGGATCTGTCGTCGACTTTTCAATTCTCGCTTTGATGGCATTAGTTCAAATTGCTTGTTCTTGGGTTGAAGCGACAGCTCCCCCGGTGAAGCATACCCTCATGAAGCTAGAAAGTTAATACATGCCTGTCTATATATATTGCGTGTCTATGGCATTGAATGTTTGCCATGTATACGTACACTGTGATCCACCCTGAGTCCCCTGCGGGGTAATAAGGGCAGAATATAAATACTGTAAATAAATAAATAAATAAATAAATAAATAAATATTTGTGAGCCACAGCCATGTTTTTTCTTTGTCAATTTGGCTCTCAATTTTTCCCAGGAACTGTCCATGGAGTGCCTTCTTTTGCCAGTTTTCTCTTCTGCTCTGAATTGTATTTTTATGGTATTCCCTCTTTGTCTTTTGCACTTTATGCAGTTTTCTACTATTGACTTCCATCAGTGTTGATTCTTGACTGTCTTTCACATAATCTGCCAAGTGCGTGTTTCTCTTCTTCTACCGTTTGTTTCATTTGCAGAAGCCCTCTTTTTGCCTCCTGATTTCCTGGACAGGTAAAGTCTGTCGACATCACAGGTGTAATGAGTAGTGGATGGTTTAGACTACTGCAACGCTCTCTACGTGGGGTTGCCTTTGAAGACGGCTCGGAAGCTTCAACTAGTCCAAC